TGCAAGCACAAATATATATATATGTATAATTTAAATATTTTGATGTTTAAAATTAATTTCAATATTTTAACAAATACTCACTAACATTAAATATCACACAATACAAAATAATTCTCACAGTCAATTATTTTCAACAAATTTTATATTAATTTAATTTATTTAATATTTCTAACTCTAAATTCATTTTGTATTTTTAATAACATTGGAACAGCAAAGCATATTTAAATTTCTAATATATATTTACAAGGAAAAATGTGCGTTATAAAAGTTTTAAAATAGTTCGAAAAAATGGTACTTATAAACCAATCAATTGATGAATATTTTTTTCTTTATCATTACTTTTAGCAAAATTAATGGCTCATTTGTTAGCCTTCCTTTACCATACTTCCAAATTAGTTCGATTTGATGAAATCCTATGTTAAAAGATTGATTATTGAACTATTTTAACATGTAAAAAATTATTATACGTACAAGAATTATCTTTAGTGACAAAGTAATTTATACACAATTTTTAAAATATCACTAAAAAATTTATGACGCTTATATTAGTGATGAAAGAAAAAAAAAATTCACTACATTTGTCACAATTGCTATAATAAAGTAATATCACTCTAATATAAAACAAAAAAAAATTAATCATTATTATATATCTCACATTTCAGTTCAGACATTATTGATTTGCTTCATACACTCATATGTGAAGTAGATGTAATTATAATATATTCAATTTTACATACAAGTGGTTAAAGTTAAAATCGAAACTTACGAATGTAGAATACTCAAATTAGAAGGAAATGTTTACCTATTTGATGTCTATCAAACTTCCAAATAAGATTGTCCTTGTATTCGATAGGGAATACTATTTAATAATGGAAAAAAATATATATAATTCTCTTATTTAAATACATAGTTTGTAATTATTTAATTTTATAATTTCATGTAATAATCTTTAAAATATTTTTAATATTTTAAATTTATATCTTATACATTTATATATGAATCCACTCATGGTGTGGGTGAATGTCTAGTTAAGCATTAATGACTTGCTCAATTTTTGGTGAATTTCATGAGCGTTTTGTTTTATCGTAAAATTGCATCCAATCTTTTGCGGTGTGATTTTGTTTGACAGAATGGTTGAATGGTAAGTGATGTTCAATCTGAAGAATGAAGATCGGATTTTCCAATTCTGGCATGATTCCGGACATGACCCAACAACGTATGCAACAATTCAACGCATGGAAACACCACAACTTTGCTTGATTTAACTCTGCCCAAAGGTGAAGAGTCCATCAAGATGAAGGAGGTCATATGTTCTAGGCTACAACCCTATAACTATTGAGTGAATCAATGTAGATAAAATGATGCTTTGAGGATGCAAAGATAATAGTTTACAAAACAGTGTTGTTTTGTTCAATGGCTATTAGATCATAAATCTAGGATGAGGGGACCATCCTCCTTACTCTTTTCAAATGGTTTAGTGTGTTTCTTTTATTTAAATTACACTTTTTGGAACGTGAATTCTTGTGTGAATTTATCATCCTTTAACCATGATGTACGAACACATCTTTCTTCTCATTGATGATACCTATAAAATTCATTAACAATTCTTTGCGGATATTTATATTCTAATAGATATCAAGACAAAGAAAATGTGTATTTTTACATTTGATAGATTATATGATACGATAAAAAGAGAAATAAAAAAAAATATGTCAAATAAATATTTATACAAGTAAAGTGTTTAAGTATCATTATTAAAAATTCAAACCACTAAATTACATATAACTATGTTGTTATTCAAAATTTGAATCCTAACTTTAAATATAAAATAAATTATATTAAGAAAAAAAATATTTACTTTACGTATATTTATAATTCTTATGAAAATAAATAATCGCTTCTGACAATGAATATTTCGTTATTGTCCCATGATTATAAAAAAAAAT